TTGATCTCTAGTGTAACAGCATTGGATCTTTTCAAGTACTATTGTAAAGTCTTTTCAGGTTTTTACTTCATGGCCAACAAGTTCGCAAAGGAACACAATAGGCCTGTTACTCAAGAAATGTGCCAAAAATTGCTTGGTGAAGGCATCAAAACTATATATGGCAGTAAGGGCCATAGAGTAGAACCACATCCTAGCTCTTTCATGGAAATTGGTAGGAAAAACCTTGCGCTTCACAGCATTAGAAGCATTACGCAGTCCATAAATGTTTTGAAGTGGTCTAGATAGTCTTTTGGGTTAATGATTCCATTATAAGTGTCTTTCGATAGTTTAAAAGAGGAGGGGATGTATGCTTGTCTGATAGTGGGGGTAAGAGGGTTATGATAATCCTTAAGACTCCAGAGATCCTTGTTTTTTTCTTTTTTCAAGTTAGCTAGCTCCTTGCATAGGGTAGCAATTTGTGTAGCTAGCTCATTATCCAGATTGGGGCTTGCAGGGGTTCAGTTTAGTGTTGGGTTTTGTGTGGTACAAACATTGTGCTAGGTATTGTAGTGTAGAGTTTATGGGTAGGTCTTTTTAAGGTGGGGTGGTTGTTCCCTGAATGAAGATATCGAACTTTCTCTAACTGAAGTCATTCCTGAAAGGGCTACTATATAGCCTGCTAGTACTGTTGGAGCAATCTTTGTTGAGTGACCACGTAGGTATTTAAGAGTTATATTTGAACCATAAGGGCTTGGTAAAAATTTGGGAAAAGTTGTTGCATAGTAGGTTGGTACATGGGGATTTATGGCATTGGGAGTGAAACTTGTTTAGAGGAAATCATAGGAGGAATGTTCGATCATTGACTGGCATTAATGGGTTATGATGAGGAAATTTACACTGTGGGTAGTTAGGCAACATGGAAAGTTCAGCTACAATAGTGTAGACCAATGGCAGTGTGTGTGTCACATTTGGAGATAAAATTCCCATTAAGTTCTGGTAAAATCCTAGGGGTTATGAAGTCTATACATTTAGTGAAGGGGGGTTGTTAGAGAATAAAACGTTCCAAGAAGAAATGTTTGGTGATAAGATTTGAAAAGGAGTTAGTAATAAGGACGTTGCATTTGTAGTGAATGTCGATTGATTAAAAGCATTAATGGTAGAAGTTAAAGTTTTAGAAGAATATGGTTGTTGTGACATGGTTGTCACTTCCCACAGATAGTGCCAATTGTTAATGATGTTTTTGGGTGTCTTAGTTAAAAGGAAAATGGTATGGTGGAAAGAAAGGACAGTTATAACCTGTAGCCAAAGAACATGATAAAAGTGCACCAGAGTTGTTGCTTCGGGGTGTGTTTTGATGCTCAAGTTAGTATATAGCCTAAGATGGAGTAAGGAAGTAAGGAAAAATGGAGATAGTGAGGTGTGTAAGAGAAACTTCAATGGAGGAAAGCTCAAACTATGCGTAGTAGGATTGGGTATTCTTTCAGTTTGGTTGTCTCACGTACCTAATCCTCTCATTACCTTATGTCTGGGACAAAGAGGCATTGACTTAATTAAAATAGTTGATAATTGATAGTATATTTGTGTGGACTTGATAAGGGATCATGTGGGTGGTTGCTATTGTATTTAATGATCCCAAACAAGCATGAGTCACATTTAATGATCTCAAGCAGGTTGAATGTCAGGTGATCAATTCTGAAGTGATTACCTTGATTAGATATATCTTTCCTTTGACAATGAACAGGCCATTCTTTTGCAGTAAATGATGTAATTATCTGGATGACTTAAGAGTATAGCTGTATTGATTAAGTTTTGACCGTTGATCATTGATTTAGGTGTAATAGATCTCATTAGCAACTAAAATCATTTAATCTATTAATACAATGTTAAGGTCATAATTTTAGTGACTAATAAAATTTAATCCTTAACAACTTTAAATTTCAAATTAAAAAAAAAAAGTATTACCTGGCTTCCACTGCTTTGTTAGGTACAGTCTTAGCCAGTTCATAGATGGTTTTATTCAAGCAAAATTTTCCCAATACTGTAAGGTAGGCTTCAAATTCAAAGCTGGAAGTTTTTTCTAACAATGATATTTTATATTCACCTTGATATTAATCTTTATTTCTCCAAGGGCCCGTGACTTAATCTTTTCTCAATAACTTTTCTTCTTAAAATTGCACTAATTAATTTAGACAAACTTTTTTGTGTCTATTTACGAGTCCCACTTTGTTTGGATTTCCACTAGCCAAATGTTAGAACATTCCCTGATAAGGAAAAAATTTACGAAACAAATTACATACTTCTAAACTACAAAGGTTGAGAGAGAGAGAGAGAGAGAGAGAGAGAGGCTGAAATTGGATGATCTGGAAAGGTCGAAAAAGCATCTCAACCAATTGCTTATGCACGCATAGAAGGTTGGAGAAGGCATAATTTAAAAGACTAGAACAACAAATAATTAAATAATAATTTGTCAGTATATCTCAATACCTTTTTTTAAGGACAATTTATAGTGGTATTTTTTTATTATAATTAATGGAAGCCAAAGTCCAATGACGTGAAGTAGAATTTGTTAAGGTTAGAAATAAAACCTTTATTTTAAAGAAATTCACCTCTTTTATAAAGAGTACCTGTTAAACTCACAAAGATTAATTTAGCTGACAAGGAAAATAATTATTTTCTTCTTATCAATTAAGGTTCGATTCTTATAAATAATATTTTAAGAGTAAAATTTTATATTTATTAAATTAAAATAAAAAATACATCTTTAAAGTTATTTGAAAAAGAGTGATAAAATCTAAAATTACCTTCGACCAAATTTTAAGGAAAAAAGGATTAAATGCCAATTAGACTGTTCATCAATGGTTAGATCTTCTCCTACTAGTTTCATGCAAACACAATTAAAATCGGAATTCTTTTGGAAAAGCCAGATTGTGATGTGATATAATGGCTATAAATTCTTCGTCTTTGAACATTTTGGCATAATAATCTTGATGAAGCACTTAAAAATATTATAGTTTGCTTGATCAATTCCTTCAAAAGAGGGGCATAAAGTAAAGAACATAAGGACCTACTTTTTTTAGTTGACATGGTATAATGAAAAAGCCATTAGCTAGTGTTAGTTCTTATAGATATCTTGTTGGCTAAGCAATTACTCACATGATTATTGATTTGTCTTTTGTCCTCAGCCCTTCTTTTTTTTTTTTTTTTTTTTTTACAATTGAAATTCAAATTGGAAACCTTTGTTCTTATATTCGATTCCAATATAATTTAACTAATAATTTATTAAAAAAAAGTAAAATTAAATTATGATTAATTGAGGATATTAATAATTGAGTCTAAGTTTGACAATTTGAATAATGCGTAAAGAGACTCAACCTATCTCTTATTATTTTTTATTCTTCTTTCATGGATATATCAATTATTTCTTTGATTTCCAACAATCTTTATTGCCATATATGAAGTTTTGAACTCCGATAAATTCAAATAAAATCGTAAATTTTTGTTAATTGAGCCAACCCAATAGGTAAATGCATTATAGGCAGCCAATATTTTACCCTAACCCTAATTTATGTCCATGAATGCACGTAGTAGCTTAGCAGTTAGTACTTGTAGCCCAGCTCCCGGAAAATTTATGATACAGAAGAATTTCAGTTGATTGACTAAGGAAGTAGGCAAAAATATACTTCTTTTTTTTCTTTTTTTTTTTTGGGGGGGGGGGGGGGGGGGGGGGGGGGGGGAACAAGATATACTTTATGTTTTTTAATTGTTTTAACAAGTATATTGCTAAATTTTAATGTAAAAAAAGGTCAGAATTGAGTTTCTAAAAAACTTATTGGCACACTGGTTTATGATTTATTTAACTTGCAATTACATGTGTTATACAACTTTGATCGATAAAAACAAATACAACAAAGTTTGAATGTAAGAAAATTTTAAAACAAATAAGAGTGAGGGTTTATATGAGATTTAAAGAATAAATACCCGGATTTACATTGGTGGATGATTGAAATTTTATAATTATATACATTTAATTGTAAATTATATGATTTTTTGTTCTGTATTATATGTATAGTCCATATCATATCCACATCCACCTTTTTTTTTTCAATAATTAATAACCTCATGCTCCTATTCCTTCTCAATGCTAGACTATGTTATTAATTTAATTGTATTTGTTACATATAGCCTAACTAGATTTCCGTACAGCAGTAAACTAAATACTATAAATTATAACTCTATGTACTTTTTTATTTATATTCGGTGTGGAATAAGATTGACATCAGATCTTGCTCACTAGAAAAGAAAGCTATGCCCTTAAAGATATGCATAAAAAAAAATAAATTAATTTGATTGTACAATTTAAAATTGATTTTTTTAATTAGAAATTTTTTGTTTGTACTAACAAAAAAAGCTATGCCATTTAATATTTTGTTTGTATAATTTAAATTTGATTTTTGTAATTAGTTTTTTTTTTAGTAATATGTAAATTTATTACAATTTTTTTAAAGACTGTGATATATATGTTCTGATTTTAGAATGGTATAGTCTCTTGTCACTTAAACTTAAAAAAAAAAAAAAAAACAAATTAACTAATTAAGAAAAAAATTAATTAAGTCCTAACTACTGTCATAAACAAAACAGAAGAAGTTTAATTAGATTCTGAAATTTCTGTTAAGCTCAATCATGTTTACAACTAACGGACATTTTATGAACCACAAATCCAGTCATGAATTAAACTTGTGATCCAAGTCTTTAACTTAACTGCCTAAAAGCAAACAAAAAGTTCTATTAAATTTCTTTCCTAATCATATCTCAATCTTTTCCTTTATAATACATCAGATAAATTTTATTATTTATTTTATCATTCACTTTTTAAATCCAAAAGATGAGGAAGGTAGAACAAAGTTACATATCTCTTTTTTTTTTCTTTTTTTCTTTTTGGTGAATAGGATTTAATTTGTAGTGGCCAAAACAGCTGAAAGTAGAGGACAGCACATGCTTACAACATATACTTCACACCAACCTTCTCTGTTACTCTTTCTCCTTCACTTCCACCATTTTTTTACCCCACTCTCTTATTTATGTACATTCACATTATCTCTTATTTATAGCCTTTAACCACCTCTCATTTCTTTTCTAATTTCTCTCTACATTTCTAAAGATACTGATTGTGCAGCCACCACCAAAAAAAAAAAAAAGGGAAGAAAAACAGTAATGGCATACGACAGGCTCCGACCATCAGAAGAACCCGGAGGCTCTGGAAATCCTATGCAGCAACAACAAGAAGAACCCAGGGCTAAAAACAACAAAAAGATTTTTATTGTTTCAGTTATTGCCCTGACTATGATAATTGTCTCAGCTGTCTGTGCTGGGCTCGTAATTGGACTCCGTGGAGGAGGCGCCGACCCAGTTGGAACTGCAATCCGCCGTAAGCCCACCCAAGCCATTTCCAAGACATGTAGCAAAACTCGGTTCCCGAACCTCTGTGTCAACTCACTTCTCGAATTCCCTGGCTCGCTCACTGCCAGTGGGCAAGACCTTGTCCACATTTCCTTCAATATGACGTTGCAGCACTTCACTAAAGCTCTTTATACGACCACGTCCATCTCCTATATCCAGATGGACCCACGTGTACGGTCGGCATACGACGATTGCCTCGAACTTCTGGAAGATTCCATCGACGCCCTCTCCCGTTCCCTCTCCTCTGTCATTCCTTCTCAGGACGGAAATAGTAAAGGCGGGTCCACTCAGGACGTGATGACGTGGCTCAGCGCGGCGTTGACGAACCAGGACACGTGTACGGAGGGATTTGAGGGAGTGAACGGGGCGGTGAAGGATCAAGTTGCCGCGAAATTGAAGGACTTGTCGGAACTCGTGAGTAACTGCTTGTCGATTTTCGTGGCTAGTGGCGGCGACGATTTCGCAGGAGTGCCGATACAGAACAGGAGGTTGATGGCGTCGGATGACGATGAGGAGAATTTCCCGAAGTGGCTAGGGAAAAAAGAGAGGGAGCTGCTGAACACTCCCATGTCGGCAATCCAGGCTGACATAATCGTTTCGAAAGATGGAAACGGCACCGTTAAGACGATTTCTGAGGCGATTAAAAAGGCGCCGGAGCATAGTCCTCGTCGGATCATCATTTATGTGAGGGCAGGAAGGTAAATTGTGGTTATAATAAAGATCCAAATTTACTGCGAAAGCATTTTTCCTTTTCGCTTTTCTGAAATCACCTTTCTATAAATTTCCTCTCAATTTTCGTTGCCGTGGTTTTATAACTTAAAACGACGAAAGTAGCCTGTATTGTACGTCGTTACTGAAAATATTTTTTGTTTTGTTCTTTTTCCAATTAATGATTGCATTTCTGACTTCACCGCTCTGATAATAAAATACTAGTGTCATGTGAATATGATATTATTATTCACGTGAAATGGATTTTTTTTTTAGGTGGGTAGGCATTTTTTTTTAAAAAGTAACTTTTATTTTAAATTAAATTAAATTAAAAATTGACTGGTTTCTCAGTGATGAATTGCAAATTACAAATGCCTGAAGATGAAATTTTTAATATTAAAAATTTACTACTATATTGACAGGTACGAAGAGAAAATTCTGAAGGTTGGGAGGAAGAAAATAAATTTGATGTTTATAGGTGATGGCATGGGTAAAACAATCATTTCAGGAGGAAAAAGTGTATTTGACAACATGACGACATTTCACACTGCTGCCTTCGGTAAGTTTACCCATTTTTTTAGACATTCATTATTCTACAAATAAAACAGCTTAATTCTTAGGAGAAAAAAAAAAAAAACCATTGGACCCAAACCACTAGCCATGCCATGATATAGAACTTGCACGTGTGCAGGCTGTTATTCTAGACAGAGAAAATACTAGATTCCTGTAGCCAGTTCAGCTTATCTTATCTTCTGCTACTTCCTTGTCCATACAATTGGGAAATCACAATTACCCGTATGAGAAACCTGAAAGCAAGAACAAATATTTTTGTTAAGCTATGTTTTTGTTGATTGTCCCTGAGTTAGTATTGAGGCTGAAGATTTCATTGGAAAAATGTGAATGTTATAATTCCTCTCTTTCTCTCTCTTAAAACATGCTCTTTTCTTTATCCAATTGCGGACAAAATCGTAATAATTCAAAAACCTGATTTGTGGCTACAATCTAAAGCTGAAAGAACGTCATTATAAGAGGTTGGTCATGGGGTTATCTCCCGTCACTAATTAGCATTTTGTCACTGTCATATAATCAGCAGTTCGTAGATCATCAGAGCTCCAATGTGTACAAGTTTCCATACTAATCACATTCTGATCAACACTTTAATTAATATTAATGTTTGCCTCATTCTCACAGAAAGATGTACTCATTGGTTGTTTCTTTTTTTTCTTTTTTTTTTTCAGCTGCAACTGGGGCTGGTTTTGTTGCAAGAGACATGACATTTGAGAACTGGGCTGGACCAGCCAAGCACCAGGCAGTGGCTCTTCGGGTTGGGGCAGACCATGCCGTGATTTACAGGTGCAACATTATTGGATACCAAGATACCTTATATGTTCACTCCAATCGCCAATTCTACCGTGAATGTGACATTTACGGGACAGTGGATTTCATTTTTGGTAATGCCGCTGTGGTACTCCAGAACTGTAGCATTTACACTCGGAAGCCCATGCCCCTGCAGAAGAACACTATCACGGCCCAAAACCGAAAAGACCCGAATCAAAATACGGGCATTTCGATCCATGCATGTCGGATCCTACCCACGTCGGATCTCACGGCTGCCAATGGCAGCTTCCAAACGTATCTGGGCCGTCCATGGAAGTTGTACTCTAGGGCTGTGTTCATGTTATCGTACATGAGCGACCACATTCACCCTAGTGGATGGCTGGAGTGGAATGCTACATTTGCCTTGGATACACTATACTATGGCGAATACATGAATTACGGGCCAGGTGCGGCAGTTGCGCAACGGGTCAGATGGCCTGGATTTAGAGTTATCACTTCAGAGATTGAAGCAGCCAAATTCACTGTGGCACAGTTTATTTATGGAACATCTTGGTTACCATCAACTGGGGTTGCTTTCTTGGCTGGCCTACAAGTTTAAAATTAAATGCTTTTTTACCCCTTTTTTAGTTTTTAATTTTATGAAATCTAATTTTATCTTTCAAATTTTTTTTTCATGATATTTCAATAAGTGTCACTGTTCTTGTTCATTTAACTCCAAACATGTTGTAGAAGCCCAGGGTCCTAGAATTACTACTACTGCCCTTTTCTTTTATTTTTCTCTGTGTTTTCTAATTATAAATTTCTTACTCAAAATTACTAATACTACCCTTTTCTTTTATTTTTCTTTTTTTTTTTTTTGAAAACTTATAAATTGTTTAAACTTTTAAGTTAAAGTAAGATATGTCGTATCTAATAGTTAAGATAAATAATTATAAATCGTACATTCGAGATGATTTTAACAAATGATCATTGATAAAACTCGAATCCAAGATTTTTTCATCGAAAAACGATTTTAATCGATTGAATCATACATTTGATATGACCTCAACAAATGATCATCGATAAAACTCGAATATAAAATTTTTTCTTTGAAAAAAACAAATTTTTTTGTAAAAAAAAAAAGACATTAATCAATTGAATCAATCATTTCTTAATTTTTTTTCTTTTTGTTTTTTATTATAAATTCCTTACTCAAAATTGTGTTGTAATAAGGAAATGATGTTGCGTATTTTTCTTCGTTCTGACTGTTGGTCGCCTTGGTGGGTTGTTGTCGCTGCAACTTTTTGGGTTGGGTGAGACTCAGGTTTACCTTAATATTATTGGTGTCGGTGACTGACTAGAGACATAAAATGCTTAGCAACCGCATTGTTGATCTGTTGGCCATCAAAGCAAGCGAATGGGCGCTCAGCTCGATCCGCAGGTTCGTGGACCCGGGGTTTAAAACGATATGGCCTACTGCACCTGAGTCTATACGAGACATGAATGTTTGAGCCAATAAACGAGTTTTACTTTCACCTCTAGATACCCTAAAACTTTTTCCATCCTGTTTTGATCAGCCTCGATGGGGTAAGGGGCTTCATCTTTTTAACCAAGAACAATGCTTAATGAACACAGCATCCAGTTTGTGGCAATTGACATGTTCCATTAAAGTCAGCTACTTTGGATCAACTTTCCACACAGAAATTTTTTTCTTTTTTGTCGAGGGGGTCACATAAAAGGCAAGTTCGGCTCTCCTACAAGACGGGGAGTTTGGCAGAAAAAGGCCAGCTAAAAAGCGAAGGATACAAAGCCAGATGTGGTGGAATTATTTTTTTCTAGTCTTGGATCTAGATGGTCAACTTGACGCAACACCACACCAGCTCTTACTTCACGTGGCCGATCGCTCAGTTGTCTTCTTATCCAAAATCGTTGTTGCAATGGGTCCAAAATTGTAATATCAGCTTTGAAGCACCATGCACGCACGTGTCTAGTGCTTAGACACTCTAGCAGAAGCAGAATTATTTAAAGTGCTTCCAGAAGAGTCGAGGTTGATTCGTTGCAGGCTGGAGAACGAACATCATCTGAACACAGACCTGCAGCCCTTAGTAGGCTAAATTCAAAATACCATTGGAATTGTTTATTAGAACAGAAAAAACTTACAAAACCATTCCATAGTATTGTGCTAACCAGATATCAGTATGGAATCCTAGTCAAACTCTGTGTAAGTAAGCGCCTTTTCTCTTTTGGGCACTAAATTGAGTAGTGCCTCAAAAGGACAATTTTCCTCGTGGAGCTCAGCTAACAACAAATATTCGAACTATTGCCAAAAAAAAAAAAAAAGGCAAAGTTAATGAGATGCCATACTATGAATAAGAGAAAGTATATGTATTATTCACATAGCTATAACCAGACAACTGCCAATAAGTTGTTAGCTCAATGGTACAAGAGTCGGTTTAAGGCTGAAAGTCTCAAGTTCAAACCTCAATCGTAACCCAAAAGACAAAAAAAAGAAATAGTAACCAAACAACTAAAATCTGGTTACTGTTCTTGGATAGATTGCTTTAAGGGATTTCTCGGTAATAGTATTGTCCAAGGACGTGCTGCACGGGAGAGTTAGATGTATGAACAAAATGAAACAGATGATGGAAACACAAGTTCCAGCAACAACCCAATATTACACAGAACTTATGCAAGACCATTTAACAAAAATATGGACTACTACCATCATCGTTCAGCTATAAATCTGCGTGTAGAAAATGCAGACGTGCAAAGCTACCTAACTAGTTGCCTCAGGGCTTATGAGGTCAGTTCATCAAGATGCCGATCCATGATCAATGACACAGCTTCAAAGAATGCATCATCACTCATTCCAGGAAGCAGAGCTTCCTCTGCTTCTCTAACAATCTGCTCAATTACTGACTCCTGTTTCACTGTTTCCCTGCACACGATTCTTCCAATAGAAAAGGGTGTAAGTCCTCTCTCTGCACCTTTCTTTAGAAGCATGGTGGAAATACGAAGGGTGCGAGCACACTTAGGTGGCATATCCCAACCATGAAACATCAAGAGTTCAATGTCATTTTCAGCATCCAGCGACTTAATATAATTAATGACATCAGGGGAATAAGGTTCCTGAGCTTGAGGCCAGTAGAGCCAGTCAAATGTGCAATCCTCAAACTGCAGCAAAAAGGAGAGCAATAACAAGGTGATGAGATGAAAGCTAAAGAAGCTCTAATCTATCAGAACAAGAGTTCATATGCCAATCTAGGAACAGTTGACAAATCTCAAACATTTCAAAGTAACAAAGAAGGTAAAAGATATTTACTATTTTATCAGACAAATTTTGGATAGTAAAACAGCTTTTTTGGAAAGCTGAGTTCCTTGCAGCTTCAATATAGAACCAAAAGTTCAAGTAAAGAAATGTTTAACATGGAAGTAAAGCATTTGCATAGCTATAAGAGGCTTCATATTTTATGTACATAAGATGACCAGACAGCTAAACTAGAAACTCCTTTTTAAGTTTTCAACTTTGTATGCAGCACATACAGAAAAAGAAAAAGACCAACAAGCAATTTCTTTCTCAACCAGGAGAGTCACAGACTAAGATGTAGCACTTTGTCCTCAAAAGTTAAAATGTAAAAAGATTGCTGCAAAGCCATAAATTGCATGAAGGGAACAAAATTCTAACAAAAGCACATCAACTGAAAAGAAATATACAGGTTAGATTCTTACATTTTCAGGCAAGCAATAGCCATGATCAATAGGAACAAGCGAAACCCGACCTTCTGCACAATTTTTTGTAACTAGCATGTTTCCAGCATGCCTATCTGCATTTGCCAACCTTATATCCAACACAGAGATCTTGTGCACCTCATCCACTGGGAAAGCACGAGGGCCCATATCTTCACAACTTCCAACATTGTTAACAAACATCTGCAGTGACCCAATCTGAATATTCTTGGAATCATACTCATAACAGCCTGGATAATTAAGTCCTTTATGCAAGCACTTGACCATCACAGTAGGAGGAACCCCAGCAAAGCCCTTTTCTCCACTATCAAATGAGCGAGGTCCAGCCAATGGATGATCCAACAGGTAAGCTGCAACTTCCCTCAATGCACCTTGTCCTACACATGTGCCTTTCTTCAACCCTTCACCATCTAGTGACAAGGGGAGGCCACGTGGGTTATTTACAGCCATTGGCTCTTCATCAATAGGCTTAAAGACCGAGATATACTTCTGACCAGACGAATCTTGCATGAAGTAAGCTCCACCTGACCCCTCCGATGACCGGATAGGCATATTGCCACTCTCTAATCCATCAAAAGTTAAGTCAATTAGGTCTTTAATAAGTATTGGCAGTTGAATCTTAGAATTAACAACCAAAGGCTCCAAAATAAAATCTCGTTGCAACAGCTTCCTCTTCATGACCTGATTTTCCACAGGGGATGTGCCACCCAGGTATTGTCCCACTGCATCTGACCTCACATTCAAATTCATTGCCTCAATAGAAACTTCAAAATCTCTTTCAAAAGGTACAGCCCGTATTTTAGCAGACATTCGAACCAGCAAGTGAATCATGGCATCATTATTTTTGCAGATATCAGTAATTAGTCTCTGATCTTCAAGCTCCTCATCATTGCATACCAGTCCTTGATCCTTGAGATTAAGAAATTCTTTTCCCTTCTTAGCAATTTGTTGCTTCACATAACCCACATTTCTACCCCTTGCAATGTGAAACTCGAACTTTTTACCACATACAATCATAACAGTGATAGCCTGGAGATCTGAAAGCTTTAACACCAGATGCAGTACATTCCCATCAGTGACCCCATTTTCCGGGACAAGAGAATTATTCCGAGCCAATTCTCTCCCTTCAAAAACTAACTTCTGCTTCCTCACAAAATCCTTTCGAATTCTGAATTCTCAGCTTCACAGAAGCTATTGAATTGTACTCCATTACACGCATGGGAAAGAAAGACACACCAACAGAGAGAAAAATTAAGATTGAGTCGCTCAAAATCTCACGACGTCTGTGCAAAATTTTCAGGGAAACAAGAATACTCTTCAATTCCTGGGCTTAAAGCTACACTGGCAGTTGACATTGACAGACCTGTAGAAAGTTATATGAAACTAGAACTTCAAAAAACCAAATTCCACTAAAAATCCTCAAACAATGCAGCGGGAAAATTGAGAAAAAAACCTTTAGCGAGAAACAGTCAGAGCTCATAGTAAGGCTCAGAAATTCTAGTTTACTCCAAGGATAGAGAAGAGCTTTGGATCCATTTTCAACTCCCAGATTTCCTTTGAATATCAAGACAGTCCAAGACCCTTACTGCAGTTTCAAGTTGAAACTCCTTACAATACATCAAATAAGGATTTAATCAGACATCATGAAAAAATCAGCTAGCATATCACAAAGAATAAGACAAAAGTAAGACTCTAATATATCTCGAGGATTAGAAAATAAAACATTAATCTCAGCAAGACTCTAATAAACCTCTAGGATTAGAAAATAAAACATTAATCTCAGCTCAAAAAAAAAAAAATCAGAGGCGATTCTTTTTCTACAAAATAAGAAAACATCGATTCCTTTAATTTAATCGCTCCATTATCCTTTAGTAATAGTAAAAATAATTAAGAACTTTAATTTCACATTCTGCTAGCTTGATATTATTGCTTTTTTTTTTTAATTTTAATCAGACTTTTGTATTTCCAAAAAAAAAAAATTAGAAAAGCATCCCTACCTGATAAAATTCAATCAAATATACTAAAATGTAGAACTTAATTGTGCCCAAAAAATTCTTTTTTTTTTTATATAATTCTCGCTCACACTTCTCAGTAACAGAAGAGAAAATGTCTACAACGTAGAATCTTCAACAAGTAAAATAAAAATATCGTGGTTTTTAAAATCTTCTATCCGATCTCCTTAGCAATGTGAAACACTTTAAGCAAAAATAAACAATTTTTAAACATTAAAAATTAGGCAAATAAAGCATGATCATACCTAAAAAAAGCTCAATAAAGAAATGCATAAAAAATTACTAATAACAAAAAACACAGATTTTTTAACCAACAAAACAAGGCTGAAATAAAATATGACGATCGAATCGTACCTGAAGAAGAAAAAATTGGAAAACTAAGAAAAATTCAGACAAAGAAATGGTGAATTAGAAATGGAAGAAAAAAGTGCGTTATTTCTATTCTGAGGTTTCCCTCTTATATCAGCGGCTTAGGTGCATCCCTCTCCAAAACGTTTAAGAAAATAATTTCTCCGAACTTTCTTTTTTTGCTTTCTGTTGACTCTAATAGAAGAAAGAGAAGAGGGAGAATGAGAGTGAGAGTGAGACATTTATTGTGTGGGACACAGTTGGTACTAATGTTTTTTCACGCAAGTTTCGGAGGGGTTTACTGAGTAATTACGGGATTAATTACAAGCATTCAAAAAGACTGAATTACCCTCCTGATATACTACATGCTTTGTGGCCTGTCTTGCAGTTTTCTATTTTTGGAATTCAAATTTGAGTTTACTTTTTTTTTTTTTTTTTGTCTTTCTTTTGTTTTTCAATTTGAATTGGGTAAAAAATTATGGTGTTTCTTACCCTTTAACGTGGTGGAATTAATAAGAAAATATAGTACTTCTCTTTTTCAGAAAGAAAAATGAAACATTTCATTTCATTTTGCTTTTTTTGAGATAGAGCCCTTTGCTCCAGTGCTTCTCATTTTTAATAGGTTACTTGGCATTAAAGTCTAAAAAGGAAAATTTAATTTATCAACTTAAATAATTAATTTAATAAAATTCATGTGAAAGTAAGTAGTCATGATCCTGTTTTAATTAAAAATTATATTTTTACAATTTTATGTTGATTTATTAATATAAAGTATATAAAAATGACAATTTTTTTTCAAAAAAAAAAATGATCAGTCGCTAAACAAATGCTCAAGTAATGGTAAATAATATCGATAACATCACCTATTCCTGCACTAAAATATCTTCTAAATGGTGGTTGATTCATTGGCAAATTTAATTTTATTGAAATACTTAATTGTAAAATCACAATTATGTTTCTACAAAATTAGAAGAGTGTTAAGATTCTAGAATAATCTCATTAGTTTAAATTCTGAATACAAAGGACTTTTTTTTTAACTCGAGGTGAAAGATACAGCTATACCGAGTAATAAAAACATGGGATAAAAGTAATTAAAATAATAATAATAATAATAATAATAATAATAATAATAATAATAGTAATAGTTATTATATGCATATTTGAGATATCATTCAGCAACTTTGCCTGTTTTCATGGAGAAAACCATATTCTAATTAATGTTTAAAAATAATATAATACAATATAAAACGCCATTTTCTAGGCAGTACATTATTATTTTTTATTATATATTTGTTAATTGTACATGTCTCTAGAAAGAAAAATTCCAAATTCTTAACACATGAAGAATGGCGTTTTAGTAAACATGTTTCTTTCAGAATCGGGTGCGAAAGCTACTATGTCTGCTCATGTCACTCGACCAATAGATTGCTTCCACGTCAAAACCAGCTGGAAGGGTCAGAATTAAAATTGAAATTTATAAACAAAATAAAAGAGTAAAATTTTCCCATATGTATTTAATAAAATTTAAAAAGAGCGTGGAAAAATCCCAACAAATCTAAGCAGACTATGAGACGTTGTATAAAACATGAAGTTACCTCACAAGCTCCTCTCGATGAATTCCCAGATCATCTCTTCCATGTAAATTCGGTCCCTATGACGGCGTGGCATGTGACGTTCATCTGGAAAAATCAATAGCTCATATGGCTTTCCGGCTGCCACAAGCGCGTTAACAAGCCTTGCCGTGTGCCTAAAATGTACATTTTCATCGATCATGCCATGGACCAATAACAGCCTTCCTTTCATCTTATTAACATGGTGCATCACGGAGCCATACTCGTAACTTTCAGCATACTCAGAAGGCAATCCCATGTACTTCTCGGTGTAAAATGTGTCATATCCATCCCATGATGTAACAGGAGCACCAGAGACCGCACATTGGAAAACATCAGGGAACCTGGCCAAGACCATGGCCGAGAGATAACCACCATAGCTCCAACCATACAACCCAATATGGCCAATCTTTGCTAACCCTTGTCTAATTAGCCATTCAGCTCCAGTGTGCTGATCCTCGGCATCAACACGACCAATGTTGTTTTTGAGACAGCCTTCAAATGTCAGTCCACGTCTAGCTGTTCCTCTATTATCTAACTGCAATGACCATGTCAGGTTAGAAAGTTGTGAAAAAATACTTATTTACAGCTAGTTCTAACCTTGTAAGCTGTATATTTATATTTGTATCCCTAGAATTAAGTATCTATATTTCTAAAATTAAAGACAGAAAAGTAAGGTAAAGAAAGGATTAGTTTTAGAAAAATTTAATTTCCTAGTTTACCCACTAGTTAGTTGTATATAGATCTAAAGTGCTTGTATAATTCTCGATAAGCAATTTTTCAATAGATATTTAGTTTTACTCTTAGTTTTCCACATAGTGTTATTTCATAGTTTTTTCATATGGTATTAAAGCTTTAAGCTCTTCTTGGAAAGAAAATTTTTTCAGCCTTCATTGTTGAATTCTATTTCAAGCCTTCATAGCCAAATCTTGTTAAATCTTTCAGTCTTATTTTTTCCTTCTTTGGCCTTCATTGCCTAGAATCATCTTTAGTTAAACCTTCACTATCAAGACTCTTTTCAGTTCTGAAAAAGATAACCATACCAGAGATAACAGAATCAGCCATTATTACCAGATTTGAGGAAATGATAACTGGTAAAACCACCGGGGTATTACAGAAGTCTCGGGAACAAAAAAAGTTGGACAAAAAAGAGATTGAGAAACTTAGAAGTCTATTGAAAACTCTTAAAAAGCCTATTGGGGTATGTTCTTTGGGTAAAGTCTCTAGTTTAGGTAAAACTTCTAGTTTTCATAGATTAAATGTCTCGGTTAGGCCTATTACGAGCTCTTGAGTCATTGACTTAGGAGCCACAAACCATATGACACATTCCTTACAGAAGTTTAATACATATACCCTGCGTCCTAGCAATAAGAAAATTGTTGTTGCAGATAGTTCACTTTCTATAATGGCAAGATTAGGAGATATTCAAATGAATCCCTCGTTTGTTCTTAACAATGTTCTTTATGTTCCTAGATTGTCTATTAATCTGATATCTATACAAAAACTTACTAAAGATATGAACTGCAAGTGACTTTTTATCCCTCTTATTGTGAATTTCAAGACCAGAGTTCATGGAAGAGGATTGGACTTACTAAGGAGAATGATGGACTATATTATCTTGAGACATCAAACAACACAAGTAATATCAAGAATAGTTTACTTCTGTCATTTCTTTCTGAAACTTATAGAGTGGATTATCAAGAAACTTTTGCTCCACTTGCCAAGATGAATACAGTTAGGATTTTGTTATCATCAGCTGCAAATTACAATTGACAGCTTCAACAATTTGATGTAAAGAATGCTTTTCTACATGGTGATTTGGAATAAGAAATATATATAAAGGTTCCACTAAGATTTTGAGGTCATCTAGAAGCAAACAAAGTATGCAAGCTGAAAAAGACTTTATATGGCCTTAAACAGTCTCCTAGAGCTTGGTTCGGGAGATTTGCCAAAGTGATACTAGCAATGAGATATAAACAGAGTCAAGAAGATCACACATTGTTTATCAAGCACTCTGATTCAAGGAGAATAACAATTCTATTAGTGTATCTTGATGATATAATTATAACCAGAGATGATGAAAAAGAAAGAGAATCTCTAAAACAGTGTTTGGCTAGAGAATTTGAGATGAAAAAGCTAAGGAGATTGAAGTACTTCCTAGGAATTGAAGTAGCTTACTCACAGCATGGTGTTTTCACCTCACAACATAAATATGTGATGGTTCTTTTGAAGGAAACTAGGAAGCTCGCATGTAAACCTATAAATACCCCTATAGATCTTAATCATAAAAAACTAATGAAGATGTTGTAGTAGATAGAAAGATGTCCTAGAAATTAGTTAGAAAACTCATTTATCTCTCACATACTAGCCCTGATATAGCATATGTTGTGAGTGTGATAAGTTAATTTATGCATTGTCCTAAAGAAGTGCACCTACAGGCTGTCTACCGTGTATTGCACTATTTGAAGGCTAGTCCTGGGAAAGGTATTCTATTCAAAAGAAATTCAAAGCTGGTTATAGAGGCATATACAAATAAGGATTATGCAGATTCAGTAACTAATAGAAGATCCACCTTAGGTTACTACACTTTCCTAGGTGGTAATCTTGTGACTTGGAGGAGTAAAAAACAAAATGTGATGGCAAGATCAAGTACTGATGCAAAGTTCAGAGCGATGGCTCAAGGAATTTGTGAACTGCTATAGTCAAAAATTATCCTAGAAGACTAGAAGATAAAGTGCGATAGACTAATGAGACTCTACTGTGATAACAAGTCTACCATAAGCATTACACACAAACATGTGCAACCATGACAGAACAAACCACATTGAAGTAGACAGGCATTTCATAAAGGAGAAACTAGATAGTGGGTTGATTTGTACACAATATGTATCAACCAAGGGTCAACTTGCAGATATGTTGACTAAGAGTCTCAGCAATGCAACATTTCAAGAAATTATTTCCAAGCTAGGAATGAAAAATACCTATTCACCAGCTTGAAGGGGAGTGTGAGAAAATACTTATTTATAGCTAGTTGTAATCTTGTAATTGTATATTTATATTTGTATCTCTAGAATTAAGTATTTGTATCCCTAGAATTAAAAACAAAAAATTAGGATAGAGAATCCCCCAATTATAAGATCACTTTTAGGAAGATTTAGTTTCCTAGTTTTCCCACTAGTTAGTTGTCTATAAACCTAAAGTGCTTGTATAATTCTTAATGAGCAGTTTTTCAATATACATTCAGTTTTACTCTTAGTTTTTCTACAGAAGTAAAGGAATGTGGGAGATGTATAATGATCTTCATGAACAGTATGAAACATGACATCATGTACTGTACTATTTGGGACATGAACATGCAGAGTAACTGCAGTGAACCTCAAAGAATCTGATACAGCAGATAAGACATCATACAGACTAGCTAAAATTTGAATGTCAGAAAAAATGATGGATTAATGAGCTTAGATTACCTAGTTCCCCCCCAGTCCCCACCTTTCATTTTGTTGGAGTATGAATGTAGTCAGTCATATATCCTAATCTAGAATGATATCATATTAGGAATTAAACTTATCTTTAAGGAAAAAAAAATGATCAGGTATATGAGTTGTCAATGCAGGAACTACAAACCTTCCAAACTAAAATGCCTTTGCTCCGCAAGTATTGTGCTCTCATGTCAACTGTATTTATCCAAGAATCATAAACAAGCTGTACACTAGGACCACCATACACGCTGATCAAGGTTTTGTACGGTGGAGGTCCAAATCTTGTTGCATCAGGCTTATATAAGGCCCCATATAGTATGGTACCATCATTTGCCTGTATGTGAACTATCTCTGGAGGTTCAAGTTGAAGTCTTTTAAGCCTGGGAATTGCTAACGGCTGCTCATAAATAGACATTATTACACTTCCATCAATCAAGTTGCAAAGCAAAACCCTGGGGGGAGAATCAAGAGAATCATAAATATCAACAAACTTCTGCATGTGATGGTCAAGCACAATCACATGTTTTCCCTTGCCATGAGTCAATCTGACAGGGGTTTGCAAGGTAGAATTTTCATCTGGGCATAGTCTAGCAAAGTAAAGGTGCGATTCTAAAGGTCCGTCAAGAGTTCCAGTGAAATATACAAGCCCTGCAGCCTCATTTATACCAGCAATTTGCTCAACCATCCAGTCACCCTCTGTAATGGGTCCCAAGCAAGTCCCATTAGCATTATAAAGATAAAGATGTCTGAATCCTGTTCTTTCACTTGCCCAGATGAACCCCCCAGAATATATGGTGACTCCTTTGTCCAGAGGTGTAAAACAATCATGTAGATTAATCCAAGGTTTTAGTTCTTCAACCATTACAACATATTTTTGGCCTGTCTTGATATCAAACTTAAGGATCTTTAGTTTGGAGTGAGACCTATTCAAGACTTGTGCTGTAAGAAAATTCCCATGCATCCAATTGACTCTAGCCAAATATTCGTCATCGTAGTTTGGTCCCCCACAGATAAGATCCATCCAGGTGACAGGACCGCCAGTGGCGGACACCACCCCAAGGCGAACTTTGACATTTGAAGCTCCTGCAAAAGGATATGCATGGTCTTCCTGTGCCTCTAGACCTACTGAGCTTTTACCTTGGTGCATAATTCTAAAAAGAGGTATCTCAGAATAATCAACCTCTGTAAATGCAATGAACTTGCCATCAAGTGACCACCAATACCCAGTTTTTCTATCCATCTCTTCCTGCAATCAGTGAAATTCCCAAAATATGAGGGAGAAAAATCTGTATGCAAAACAGAGAGATTAAAAAAGGGAAAAGAATGAATTTTGGCATCATTGGTAATTTTATGGCATTGATTGTATGACATCGAAAGAATCTTTATTTTGCTCACAAAAGCAGTAATCAGTTCCAAACTCATACTAATCAGTGACCAATTTACATAAATATGTGAACAAAAAGGAGATTGAAAGAAATTCTCACCTGAGCTATATACTCAGCAAGTCCATGAGTCTGCAATTCATTAAAAATAACATCATACTCAACACAAGGGGAAAAAAACCTAAACAAAGGTCAAAATGTTAAAGTCTACCTTGCTTCATTTGCCACAACCACACAGCAGACTAAAACCAGGTAAAAATCAAACAATTTGAGCCTATCTTATTTGAAATTATTGCATTGACTAATTTTTATGAAAAGCAGGAAAAGTTGCCCAATGATTTCTAAGTTGTATAATGTAGTTAATGAATTGGCAATGTGCCAGAGAACTTTTTTACAGGTTGATTTGCTTCCTTGCAGGCATTGTTAATATCAACAACCATTTCTTTGGCTGATAAGAAGCACCAAGGTAAAAGGAAATGGGAAATGAGAAAAACATAGACCAGACAAAGAGGGAGCTGACCCTAAGTAGTCGGAGCTTATGTCATCCAGCAATTAGCTGACTTGGGCAAAGTGTCATATCATTCTATGTTTTAAGCCAAATATCAAATAGCTTGTTTTAAATGGCTCCAAAGGCCCTATACAGATTGCATCATAAAAAATTCACATACTTTCTTCTACACCAACCTCCCCTCCCCCCCCCCCCTTTTTTCCCTTCACAGGCAGGGCCAAAAAAGAGGGAAGAAAAAAAGAAAAGAAAACTTGTTGCTGATATATGAACATCCAAAGAAGTGAAACAATTAAATTTCTACCCCATACAGAAGCTGGTAATATAAACTTACCACAATGTTCCCATTTGCACCATATGTTAATTGTGTTTGTTCATCGTACAAAAGATTCAGAACACGTAGCTCATAATCTCTTATGTATGCAAGCATTGTACCATCTGGGGAAAGATGTGGATCAATAATTGGTGATGATGACATGCTTGGAAGCTTGAGCACTGGTTTTGAACCAGAAAACTCCTGGAAATAAATCTGCCCATAGAGAACAGAACAAATTACCAGGGAAAAAAATTTTCTAAATTGTATGCAAGAGTTCAATAAAAGAAAATATACATACATAAGTAGTAATAAAGATAACAATGCCAAGTGATCTAAAGTGGTAGAAAGTTGGCATGAAATGATTTCATTGGTGAGAAACAATGTAATTTGGCCAGCTAATTCATAAAACAACTGGGAATTTTTAGTAATAACTGAAGCTAAAGTTGAACGTGGAGGTATAAAGTTTTGACCAATTAGATGTGAAAACAATGGTGGAGCTGTTAAAGTGGTGCTACAAGTGATAAGATAAGGTGATAAGCAGGCAGGTTGGTGTGGTGATGTCTGAATTTGTTGTATCAGTACAAACAGTGGGTACAAGAAAAAGCAGGAAATGATAGAAGGAATCTACTGTGGTGGGGACTCTAATAGCAGTAGCAGCATCATGTTAGCATCACTAATCCATCATGCAAATAGGTAAATTGTAGTCAATTAAGTACCAAGAAAAATGATCAACTGACACGCGGTTCAAATTAAGAACAAATAAAAGAACATACTTCTTTCATCTCAATCTATATATATAATTGCACTTAGAAAAATGCCATAGTGGCCGCAATCAGACAAAAAAAAGACTTAAATGCAGTCACTCTATTGGATGAGTGATATTACAAATAAAAAAAATTCAACCTCATTGGTTCAAATAGTTTTCTAAGTATATTTTAGATTACAACAAAACTTATCAACAAAGATAAATTAAACATGAAAAGTCACAACGCTAAGATTTTGGGGAAGAAGTATATGCAGATGACAATAACTCATGTAGAACATCATGTGGACTAAATAGGCCTTTATAACAGTATATTCAAATAAACAGATGGGATTCTTCTACATACCCCTCCTGGTAAAGGCACCATAATAGTTTTCTTCTTTGAGATAGTCTTCACCCATTCATAACGTGTGACTCCCAGACCACGCTCCCTTGACCTCTCCCTCCTCAACTTCTCTTCAGGTGATATATTGCTCTCATCAAGTCCACCATCCGGGGGACAGAAAAATAACTCTTGCTTGCCAGAATTGAGATCAAAAGCAAAAACCTTTCTACTCAAGGTGTGATCAGGACTAAATAGAAAAGCTATCAAACTATCATCCGGACTAAAACTAACAGAAGTAGGTGCTACATAACCAGGTAATGGTGATTGAACTATCTCTTCAACAGGGAAAAGAATGCAATCATCAAGAGTTTGCATAGCAGTGCTGTCGGTCACAGGCATATCGCGAGGGCGTTTCAAATTCGTCTTCTTTTCATTACTTTCATCAACAGATTGCATTACAAATTGAAGGAACTCCTAATGATTCAAATTACAATAAAGCATGAACCTTTAACAAAACAGAAAGAAACTATTACATAAATGTTGGTAAAAACGTCACTACAAATTCAAGATTGTAAAGTTTCAGTCTTTTTTATTATTATTGAGTTCAAGTTACTAAGTTACTCTAAAATGTTCTTTCAATTTACTAAAAGTTTATAAATAACACATTTTGAAAATTGAATTCCTTATTTTTTTCTTTTTCTCTTCCCCTACGCTAACAAAAATTAAAACCAGAAAACGGCCTCATTTCAAGATTCACTCTTCATTTCCATAATTTTCTCGGCAACCAAACAGGAATTATCTATAAAACAAAAAATTAATTAAAAAACACTTAAGAAAGACATTATCTGCTAAGAAACTCCAAGAAACAACTTCCTAAAAGAGCTCTAAGCAACATGAAAAATAATCCAGTGGATCCGATCACAGCCTATTGAACTCACCGAATCCACACTTTTTCCGTGAAAACCAAATCTTCTTCTTTTTTACTTTAATCATAGACTAAACTAAATTTGAAAGCAGCAGGAAAAAAGTGCAATTTTTTCTCTCTTTTTTTTTTTTTTAATTCCAGAAGGAATAGGATTCGAATATTACCTGCAAAACAAGCAGAGCTGATCGGCCATAAGAAGGAATTAATGGAGTCGGATTGTGTGGGATTTGGATGATTTTTGGAATGACAGTGGAAAGATAAGAGCAGAGACTAAGTACTACTAATTAATTAAGTTTAATTAATCATTCAACTTTGGAAATTTTGGATTTCTTTAATCACGCGCCAACCCTCACGTGTCAAGAGGTGAATGGGAAAAACCGGGAAAGTGACATGATTGTTCATTTTCTTTTGTTTTTGTTTATTTTGAATTTTAACGTTTTAAGCGATAATGCCTATCAGCAATGGAATTGTTTTATAAGAAAGTTTGTACGTGTTAAATTTTAAATTTATTAAATATATTTTTATAAGAGTAAATATATAAATTAATTAAAATTTATTTTGAATTCTATTTACAATAGAGTTTGACAATTCAACAAAATTAATTTAATTGATAAAAAAATTTATTAGTAACCATGATTCAATTTTTATAACAATACTTTAAACTAAATTTTTAAATACATCAAATTAATATGAGAAATGCACTATTATATATTTTGAGAAGAAATTAAATTTATATAAAATTTGAAGCTACCTTCAGTGGTATTAAAAAATAATATAATAAAATTTACTAGAGAAATAGTAATGATGGGAATTTTACAATTACCATTTAAATTCAATCTACGAAAAGAATGCATTTTGTAACATCTAAAGGAACAACAAAATCGCTCAACTAAAAAAATTTAGGTTAAATATTTTCTAATATTATATAAAAATATTTATTAACAAAATTTTAAATAAATTAGAAGATAAAGTTACTTTGTTTTATAAACAACCACCTACCATTAAATAATTTTTGTCTCTAAACTTTTAATTTAATAACTAAAAATATTTTTAAAAAATCAAAAATTTAATTTTGAGTCAATTTTTTTTATTTATACTAAAATTTTAGTTTTTTGATGTAATAAAAAAAATATACATATATTTTTTTGGATAAATTTACCATTGAGATGCAATAGGACAAACAGCTTATCCCACCGCTCTGAAAGCGCGTGGATCTTTTTTATTCTTCGAATATTTAGAAATTAGAATCAAGGAAATTTTCGGTTTCCAGAATCTTTCGAATAAGAAAAACAAAAGACAGACAGAATCCTCAGTGTTCGTAAGCAACCAAAGTTCTTGAACTGATTCACTGTTTGTACGCCACGTGTTCTGTTATTTCTTGTATTCAAGAAAGTGAATGAGATTTTGGTTCCCCTTGCTAATATGGCTGACGGTCACTCCTGGCTGGCCAATAAGAAAGTGACAACTAACATATTTTTCACCATAACCACTTTGGAAGGTTGTATCAGACTGGCGCTCCTAATTTTTGGGACGTTGAAATGTTTTCTTTTGGGGATTGACTTTGGCATATAATTTGGTGTTGTCATGTTCATGTAGGAATATGATAATTTAAGAAACAATGATAATGGGCATCAATTCCTTAATATCAAAGTATAATTATAACCTAAATTTTAGGTAGAGACTTACACTTTATGTCATGGAGTTGTTTAAAATTTAAAACAGAACCATGGTAGTATGAAATGTGTAAATCTTAACTTTAAATGCATATAAATATCAAAACTGAAATTTTCTATTGGAATTTTAAATAATTTTTGCACAAAATTTGAAAAATTGAAGATGGGTCGAAAAAATTGAAAGTGACAACCTCAACAAAATATGTCAAAACTTTAAAGGTTAAAAGTCTCGAAGTTAAATTATGAGATAGAAAAAATAGAAAAAGGCTATTCTTATTTTGTAAGCCAATGTTACTCGTAAAAATAATAATAATAATAATAATAATAATAAAATAGTAGCGCAGAGTTCACCTAAAGAGAATGATAGGATGGGCTGGGCTGGGCCGGGACCAGTTGGAGGACATGTTAGATAAAAAAGGTTAATGGGATTTGCAAGAGTCATGATTTTCCACACTTTGAAGTTCATGTGGTGTCAATTCCATCCATTTAGCTCATGATCCTGATCAAAGACTGCTGCAATTCTTTGATACTAATAGACTTTCTTTAATTTCTTTTAATCAGATACCTTTTTTTTTTTTTTTTGCAAAAATGTTTTTCATTGCGTGAAGAGTTTTCAAGGTGTCCAGTGACTGTTCAACCTTTTTTAAGGTATCGGTATCACAACTCACAAGCAAAATAAAAGCAACTCTTTGACTTCAGATACAGCAGATAAAGCTCGCGAACATGGAAAAAAGCCCTTTGTCTTTGAACTAGGATATCTGGAATTTCATAGCTAATCAGGAAACCTGAAGTGCGATAAGGGAATCAATTTCTTATTGAGTTTTGTCCTTCTTTTTTTTTATTTTATTTTTTGCTATATAAAGATTGAATTTTGTATTTTATCATACTGAAACAGCTCAAGAAGTTGGATTTTTTTTTTTTTTTTTTTTGTAATTTTCTATCAAGGATTCAAGGTTTTGCTATTACAAACATATAAAGGCCTCGTTTTTATTTAGACAAAACTAGGAGACATAGAAACACTAGTTTCAGAATGTGGAATCAATCTGTCTGATCTCATAACACTGTTATTATCACAAAATTTCTGATGCTCAACAACAATGTCCATTTGCAAAACAGATCTACAACTCCGTACAGAATAGAGGGTGCAGACCCCCAAATTGGAAGAATATTTAACAGCTGATTATGGCAGAATAAAGTTGCAGGTTGTCATTTCTGAACTTGTTCTTGGTTCTTGGCTGCGCTCAAGGGGGTTCCTGAACTCTTCTTCCTAGGTCAGGTTGTGGCACCTTTATAATGAGATAGCACAAAATCTGATACTTATCTCTAACTGTATATAGGCCATGATTAATGCCCATGTAGCTTCAGCATTAAGCCTAAACGTCTAAATCTTCAACCTCAGACCTAACCACAAAGCAGGGGAATGCTAGGTTTGTATCCCTGTAAGACAGAATCCACCAGGGAGATCAGCACCTAAACAATTGATTTAAAACTCAGCTCACTCTATATCTTAAGGGTGAGTTGAGTTCATTTATGACTAGGATCAACATCAAAGTTAGACTAACAAGAACATAATAGAAGAGAAAATGTTGAAGAAAATAGTCAAATACTGTAACACGAAACCAAACACAGAAAGTGAGCAAATTCAAAGTTCATCTTACTGCCCAATCAGGAGGAACTTCTTATAACAATCATTACTCACATTAAATATGGAAGTGTCATGTTTTTTATAAGGGAAGGATACTTTGATACGAATTCCTTCCACTCTTCTGCATCAATTTTTCCATCACCTTGAGTGTCTGCTTCACTAAATGTCTGAGGAAAGATGAAAAAAGAGATTCAGAATGTCCATATATAAAATATGAATGGATCAGATAGTTGATAGGTTGGAGTTATCTGCACCTTATCCACTATTGTTTAAACAACATCCTCCAAAAGAACCAGATCTGATTCATGCAAAAGTGCCAAAACCATCTCCTTCAACTGTGAATTGTTGAATACATTTATAAGTATCTCAAGGTTGATTCAGAAGCAGATCTTAAGCACCAAGAATCATGATATATATTTATATTCTATACCCAAGGATCAAGAATTTCTTTTCTTTAATCATCCTACAGAATCAATTATGTAAAGAATTAAAAGATCTGTAGACAATGAAACTCAAAGGTCTAGCAGACTAACACTGTCACAATACAAACCTCTTCGGGCTCAATAAAGCCGGTTTGTCTTGGGTCATAAAGCCTGAAAGCAACTGAGAAAGGATTGTCCCAACTTAGAACATATTGCTTTGAGCATGATATCTGAAGGCTATTTGTACGAAGAAAGGTTCATCATTTGCACAAGTATTATCTAGAAAATTCATAAAATTGACCTACATGCAATTTTGTCAGCCACAGGTGCATTGGGGTGAAAGACACCCAATGATCGAACAAACTCCCCAAACTTGATGACCCCATTACCTTTGACATCAAATAAATCGAAAATCTGCAAATTCACAGACAACGTTATTTAGAAAAAGGAAACAATAACAGTGCAGAAAAAGAAGCGTTCTTTTCTAATTATCTGGAATTATGAACAGTTGAAAATTCCTGCAATATCAGCCAAAGCTACTTGTATGTTTCAGCACATTAATAAAGTTAGATGCCCTAATACAAGCAATATGGAGTTAACATTACACACCGTCTGTAAAAAGATTCCTCCAATTTCTGTTCTTTAAGAGGGCCAGCTGGAATTCTTCCTATTCATAAAAAGCATAGAATTTGTCAAAAATCACTGCAATTAATTTGGATTTGCTTATGAATTTATTTGAATTGTAAACGTTGAATAAGTTATTAGTACTAACCACCGCTCAGCATACCTTGTGAATAAGCCCATCAGCAATTATTAAATTGCTTAATTTCTTAAAAAGCTCGTGCAAGGCCTCTACTTTACTATCCGTAACTACAAAGAAGGGAAAATACTTCAGGCACAAAATAACTAACTAATTAGCTAATTCAAACAGAAATAACCCTGGTGTTAATAAAGGCTAAATTCAGAATTTATTCTCAATTTTCAGATCTCTTGACATCTACTGCATTTTGCCATTACATGTCTGGATATCAGTTTATTAAGGTAAAAAGAAAAACCAATAGATTTCTTTAGAAAGATGCAGAGAATTTGCACGGGGTCATGAGCACAAATATTGGAAAGAGAAAGAGAAGTGGGGGCAAACTTCAGATGGCCTAGTTGCAAGCTACAGAAACGACTAGAAAGCCTGGAATTGTTACTTACAAGGTGTTTCAGCAGCAAGAACAGTCGGATCTTCATAGCCAGCTGCTTTTTTGCTTCTCTTCGAAATTACACATCCCATGACAACAGCTGGCGCTATTTGATCAAAAGAATTATTGACAATGCACTCATTTGGTGCAGAAGCTTCACCTGCCAATATCATATGTATACTTTTATTAACAATTTCTAGCATCATTTAGAGCTGTAACTCAAATTTTGCAAAATTTATGCATTTTATTATATTCACATGAATTATGCCAGAAAATTTTTCTGTGGCATCTTATTACTCAAGCAACAGATGAGCAAAATCTTCTAGGACCATTTCCTTCATGACTGAGACA